CCACTACTCAGATTATTTTCGAGAACCATACTTGGTTACTCGCAGAGAAGAAAGCTACTTCGGCTTCATCAAAAACGCTTGTTTGAAAAATATGTTATGCTAATTTTATTGAACAAATAAGATTTCAAATATGCGGAAATGATGAAACAAACAGCATCAAGCATTGGGCTACCATAATTTTTCATCAACGTTGGAGAGGAGGGAGACGGGGAGTGGTACCAATGAGCAGCTTTGGTGTGGAAAGTTATCATAGGTGGCGAGATGCTGGAAAAACATCGATTCTTGAGAAAGTGTAAGCTTTCACGGGAACATTAATCTTTGGGCATTATTTACCGGAAGCAATTATCGCACCGTTGTGAATTCAGTTAAAAATATGCGAGATCACATAAAAGCATTTTTTCCGGATATTGCTAGACATACACGTCTTTCAGCGGCCCACCTCGCTTAACATTTGTGGAAGGAGCACTTGTTGCTGGAAATCCGTTGCCGGTGATAACGACCTCTTCTTACCTGCAGCTGCTAAGCGTTGCACAACCTGAATAATTATAAATAATGTGAAAGCAATAACTGCATGAGATCAACTTAAATCATCTATAAAAACGTAAAAATGAGTAGTTTTAAAATTTATTAAGACTACCACTCTGGCAATCGGTGTGAGGATCCGACGTTAGTAATGTTACTGGGATGCAACGACGCTCCAGGGCGCAACTATTTCAGGCTCTCCGGCCCTGAACTACATATTTTGGTACTTTTCACCTTCGCAAGCTAAGAAATAATTGAAATGCGTCAACTGCTCAAGCGTAAAAACATGTTTTTATATTAAGAACTGACGGATATCGTGCCAGAGGAAGTAACGTTGCTAGGGCTTGGCTACGCAAATAGGACAGCCAACCCCTCTACGATTCGTTCATTGTTTCTAAGTACTAGTGCATGCCAGGGAGTCAAACTCGCCATCAGTTTGCTTCTAAGCAGCTACTGAAGAAGCTACCTGCAGCCTTGCGGCAGCCTGTGGTCATTTTTTTGGCATTTGCTACCACTTGAGTCATTTCCTGAGTGCCTCAGCTTTTCACGGAATGCGCCTGCGGATATATCAAGGCCATACTTATCTACTGCTGTAATAACTAATAAATAGCTTCCAGCTATTAACTGTACTAGCTTAAATAAGCTAGTAAGATTTTAGCTTAAATAAAAGTAGAATAAATAACATACGTCAAATTGCTGAGCAAACTGATCGGCTGGACTTAGTGCAGGTCGTTTTCCAACATTCTGCAACGACATCAGATCACCCAAACTATCTTCAAATTCCAGTGCTGGCGAAATATGTGGTCGGCCACCAAATGAACGCTTATAACCCTAAAGTGAAAAGCTTAACAAATTTCTAGCCCCAAAATGA